GCTCAAAAAGGTTGCCTATTCCTGTCCTAGACTATAGTACTGAAATATTTTCCGAAATATCCGTGCACACAGAAAAATAGGATGCCACAAGCAGAAAGATATCTCCAATGTAAAGTTTCTAACACTGCCTTGCTTTCAGATTTTTTTAAAAAAATAAAGGAAACTTGAATTCTCAACAACAAAACCACCCTGTGACGGCCTGTCCTTCCCTCTCCTTTATTCTTAACCATGGATCCCTGTCAAAGTGCATTACTAAGCTCAATTGGCTTTACACCTGGGTAACTAGATATAGGTTGGACTGAGGCCTGGAACTCAGTAACCGTGAAAGACTCTCCCCCTGCCCATTCTTACTCACAATTTTGTAGACTCCCTACATTTTTTGACATAAAGATGCAAGCTTCTATATGTCTACTCCAAAACAATACTATTGAATTTAGTAGGGCTTACTCCTGAGCAAGAGGATTCAGGATGGACTGCAGTCTGAAAGACAAAGGAACTTGGAAAGGAACTAGTGAAATAAAAAGCACAGTCAAAGCCAAGGATACTCTAAAATTTTAATTCTCTGAGACCCTGAAAATGTCTGCCATTGTCAATCAATGGCTAAACATTAAGTTAATACCTCTCATTTACAAGGAATTATCAGTTAATATGTTATTTTAATTCATTAAGTCTATTTTTGAAGAATTAGGGGGGTTGCAGACTGCCAGAAATAGTGCAAATTGAGTCCACTTTTAGGATTAGGGTTAGAGAATCATGGGAACTGTAGTTTATTGTGGCACCAGAGCTCTCTGACAGAGAAGGCTCAATGTCTCAGGAAAAAAACAATTTCCATGATTCCCTAGCACTAACCCTAACCCTAAAAGTGGACTCAATTTGCACTATTTCTGGCAGTCTGCAACCCCCCTTAGTCTACTACAAATAACTCATGCTAGCACCTGATATCAATGTCAGGCTGAAGGGTCAGTAGCTGCCAGGATCCTCTTTATTCCCCTTTGTGAAGATAGGAACAACACTGAACTGCTGCCTCCAGTCTGTAGGGACTTCACCTGCTCTCCAAAGAGTTCTCAAAGATTCCAGACAGAGATTCTGATATTATTGCTGCAACTTATTTTAGTAACATT